TGCTCCTCCTGGTTCTTGTTGGCACTAAAGTGCCATGCATTTGAAATTTTTAAGCACAACACTGCGTATGATCAACGTATGTATGTATGTATGTGGGTGGTGCGCTAGGTGGAGTGTGGCAGCCTGAATGCTTGAATGTTTGAATGTTTGGCTGTGTTTTGTGGAGCGAGAGGCATGGGGCGTGACTATGTGGCACTGCACATGAAATAATGACAACAGCTATAAAATTTTGTTGGCTTTTTGCGACACAAGAAATGTGGGGGGGGGGGCCACAGCACAGCCAAAAGTGAGCAGTGTTCCAGGCAACAGATTCTGCAAGAAAAAAAAAACTTGAATCTGAAACAGAAACAGAAAAGGCTTGTAATATTTTTTTATTTTATTGTACAGCTGTTTAATGTGCGGCAATCTGTTGTGGCAGCTAAGAGGCTTTTGTTTTCTTAAGGAACTGTAGCAAAAAGCTATAATTTTCTTAGCTTGCAAAATAGCAAAATGAATGGAAAACTCTACAGAAGTGCACTTGAAAAAAACCCTTAAGCCTTCGTCCAATGTCTGAGCCAACTAATTGCCTTACTATTTACAGCCTCGCAATGGATTTAATGAGTAAAAAGAAGCCTCATTTATTATTGTTTGGAAATAAATGAAATAATTAAGAGAATTGTGGTCAAGGGCAGATTAAAATAATAGCAATTGTTCTGCCAGGCAAAAACCAAAGAAATCTTTTCTTGAAAATATGCATTTTATTTGAGGAAAAATTAAAATAAAATAGTAAAACAAAACAAGAAAAAAAAGCTGAAGGTTATAAAAATTTAAAGCAGCCTAAGGGCAGAAGAATCGGCGGACTTGTTGCTTAATTGCGTATTTAATTATAATTAATTATGTAGTAGGATCTGATTTATCTGAGCCATTAATTGCACATCGCAATTCGCAGAGCTTTATTGGAGTTTTGGTTTTTGGGAACACAATTGACTGGCGCATTTGCTCAAGTGGCTTTTTGATGCTCTGCTATGGCTGCTGCTGCTGCTTGTGATTCTGTTACTGCTTCTGCTGTTGATGTTGCTACTGCCACAGATTCTACCGCTGTCTCTGCCTTCTGCCCGTTGTCTCTGCCTTTCTGCCCGCTGCCTCCTGCCCTATGCTTCTGCTTCTGCCTCCTGCCCTATGCTTCTGCCACTTCCACTGCTTCTGTCTCTGCCCCTGCTCTCCAGCGCTGTTGTATGTAGTTTATTTCCCCTTTTCCCGCACTGTCTTGAATTATTATTCATGAGAGCTTTAATTTATGCTGCAGTTAGAATTAGTGAGCTTTTGCATTTTTCGCCATCCCTTTTCCCCCCCAGAACATGTCCATATGTATATGAATTACTTTATGTATCTGAGAGTATCTGTGTCTAAGTATCTATGCATGCATGTATCTGTATGTGTGTGTGTGTGTGTGTGTGTGTGTGTGTGTGAGCCTAAGTATCTCTCTGTGTTTTGGTTGGGTGTTTAGTTTTCGTTACGGAAGTACTTAAAATGGCATTAATACTTTTATGACTTGTGGCCGAGGCAATCTGCGGTCAGGTGGTGCGACCAAATATTCACATTAAATATTCATATCCATTCACAACGTGACTCAGGTGTGTGTGTGTGTGCATATGAATGTTGTGAGTGCACCACACACATGTGGCACATGTAGCATGCATTTGTAATGAACAGATAAGACTGTAAATTAGAGCACAGCTCAGCTCAGCTCGGGACAGGACATGCATACATTTGTTCGAGTTTATTTTGTTAATATATTATTTCCATGGCCTGTGGTAATCAACTTTAATGCAAAATGAATGAAATTTGATTTTAGTCTAAGACTTGCCGGCAATAAGTAGTCTACAATAATTGCACAAAAGTCTTGGATTGTCAGCATTAAGGGGTGGTGGGTGTAGGAGCAGATATTGTAAGTCTGAGTGTAAGCTGTTAACATTTAGGAATGGCTGCAGACACACTTTAAGATTTACTTAATTTAGCAAAAGAAATGTAAAATATTCAACTCCTATTAGAGAGCATTGCCACCCCAACCCCCCATAAAGATTTATCCACTTGGTCTTTTGCTTTTTTCCAGTCCAATTTGATTTGCCCCAAGTCGGTCATTATTTTTCAGCAAAATGTTATTTGCTCCAGCCCCCACTCCCATCTCCTGCTGCTAGGAATTTACATGTTCAATTAGTTTGATAGGCAACAGCAGCAGAGTTTGACTGGTCCAAGAGTTGATAAAAATACTTGACATTTTATTCGAAAATTTATCCCATTTTGATTCACTTTGTCATTGCCCCTGCACCGCCTCCTTGAATCTCACTGGGTCTCTGGTTCTTTGGTATTTTCTGCTTTCTTTTTTTTTTACAATTTTGTTAGCTGCTTATGGCCATTTACTTGTAGCCAATTTCCATTTTAGTTTGAGTGGCAATCAGTGCTGGGATTTGTTTATGGCATTTTCATGTTTATTTTCTTTTTTTTTTGTGTCTCTCTGATTTTTTATCTGTTTGTTTTTCGCTCTCTCTCTCTCTCTCTGTGTAGTGGCGCTATAAATGTGAGTAGCGCTTACCATTTTCAAACAGCTATAAAAAGGAATTTACATATCTCTTGCACTACTACGAGTACTACTCATAATATCTGGGAATATTCTCACACACTCAGTCACTCACGCTTCTGGCTGATTTTCTTTTGGCCATATGCGTGGCATTGCCTAACTGATTTTCGCATACATTTTTGTATGCCGTGGCTGGCTGGCTGGCTGGCTGGCTGCTGCCTTGTTTGAAAACTAATTAAAAGTTTAAATGTTTGTAATTAGCGTCGGAATAAATGTCTGCCTGCCACATTATAAAATTAGTAAATTTTATGCCAAACTTTTTTGGCTGCAGTCAAAATATACATACAAAAGAAAGGGAAAAAATGCCAGCCAGCCACCCACCCACGCAGTCCCCTTTAACCAACGACTGACTGACTTGACTGTCCGTCCCCGCCCCTGTTGACGGCGACTTCGTCGGCTTCCATTTAAGCAATTTTCAGTTGTGTGGTTTTGATGGGTTTTCAGAGGTTTTTTGGTGCTTCCTTTTGGAGTTGGGGCGGACTTTGGTGACGGTATATGAACTTGGAGTTGCACCTATGAAGAAGCTGATGAGTTTTGAAGTCAAGTGGGCTTTTAGGGAGTTTGAAATCAAATGCGTCTAGATTTACTATATTTAAATATTAAAATATATTTTAAATACATTTAATTAATATATTTTAAATATATTTAATATTTGATTTAATATATTAATTTAATTTAATATATTTTGGAACTGATGCTAATGGAGTGCAGGAATTGTGCTGTACAATTGAATAATACACGATAAATGCGTCTAGATTAACTATATTTAAATATTAAAATTAAAATATTAAATATATTTAAATTATGTATATGTAATATAACTTAATATATTTTGGAAGTGATGCTAAAGGAGTGCAGGAATTTTACTGTACAACTGAATAATACACGATAAATGCGTCTAGATTAACTATATTTAAATATTAAAATTTATTTTAAATATATTTAAATTATGTATATGTAATATAATATAATATAATATATTTTGGAACTGATGGTAAAAGAGTGCAGGAATTGTATTGTAAACATTAATAATACACAATTAATGCGTCTGGACTTACTATATTTAAATATTAAAATATATTTTAAATACATTTAATTAATATTAAATATAATATAATATATTTTGGAATATTTAAATTTAAATATATTTAATTAATATATAATATAATATATTTTGGAATATTTCTTCAATTCTTTGTGCTTGCTGACTGAACAATTCCTTGCAAAAGTCACTGAAAATTAAGTAATCTTCTTCTGTCAGCGGTTCTCCAACTATCGCTACTTCCCCATGGGTCTCTGCAGAACGGATTCAATTATAAAAGTGATGCCCGATGCTCCTGCTACATAATCTTGTTTCGTAACCCAAATCAAAATCCAACGCAGCAGCGCCCCCATTCCCCTTGAAATCAGCAACAGCAACTCAACCAAAAAGTCAAACACAAATAATTTTCCATCCTTTTTGGGGGGGCAGGGGAACAAATACAGGTTATTGTTATGCGCAGACCACACCCCCCAATATAACAGTGCTGGGTGGTGGCGGCGGCGGGGGGTAGGTACTTGAGGGTGTGGGTATTCAATCAACAATAAAAACGCACACGCTTAATTAATTTAACCCGAAAAGTCAATCACGCGAAAAGTTGACGAATGACAACGGCAGCGGTAGCGGCGGTGGGCAGCGGCCGTGACACGAACAAAAATGAGAATAACAACAAACAAAAAAAACCAAAAACAGGACAAACCCCAGGGCTGACAGCCCCGCAATCCTTAGCAACCCACCGCCCCCCGCTCTCAAACGAAAAGAAAAATAAGTATGGCACAACCAACAATGACAAACATCGATAACAAGTTGTTTTTGATTTGGTTCGAAAGCATTAAAATAAAACAACAGCAACAACCAAAAACAGAGGGCAAAAAACACAGGAGTGCACAAAGAACACAATCAGAGGTCTGTGTCTGTAGCCTTCGGGGCTGAGAGGACATCACATAAAAAATAACAAGGATGCTGCCGCTGCAGCCCAGGAGGGACACAAAGAACGTTCCCAAAGCCATTTGCATTTCTCAGCGTCTCTGCGTTCGTTATTTTTTTTTTTTTTTTCTCATTTAATGCTGCACTAAAAGTTCACTCAAACGTAAAAAATAAATTGTTTAATATAAAAAAAAAAAAGCAAACACAGAAATAAGGGAATATAAAAAGTTGTCGCTGTTCGACAGCAAAAAGGAGGAACCTCTAGCCCCTGAATCACGAGCGACGGAACACGCGCTAATCTATATTTAGTTTTATTTTTTTTCTTTTGGGTAAAAAGGAAAGCCCATCGTCTGGAATATGGCGTGAAAAATGCCCAGGCAATGGCCTTGGGGAGTATGGAGAGAGACAGCTACTTACTTGGATTGGTGCTATTTATACACTCGTCTAGGATACACTCCAGCGTAGGTGTGAATATTTGTCAGGAAATCCACTTTGAGCTAAGGAAGAGACAGCAAAGTGAAGGAAATCAATGAGTATGAGTGAGCTATGACCTTTGAACTTAATCAAATAACCATGTAACGCTATTTACTAAGATTAGAAGGTAAAAGCAGCCTAATAATCTACCTTCTGGCTGTAGGCTGCTGCTATTCAGTTTTACTTTTTGGTATTTGTGGAACTAGGAAAATTAATTAGGGGAAATTCAATAAAAATTTATCTTATTCGATTTAATGATCCAAAGCCAAAAATAAAATATTAAAAATATTTTTTTTTTTTAATATTTTTTTTTTTCTTCAAGAATTGTCTATTATTTACTATCTACCTTTCAATAAGAATTTATCTTAATCATACATTAAAAGCCAAAAAAAAATATTAAAAATATTATTTATGTTATTTTATTATTTTGTTATTATTATTGTTTTTTTTCTTTAAGAATTTTCAATTATTTACTACCTACCTTTCAACAGGAATTTATCTTATTCGATCATTAAAAGCCAAAAAAAAATAATAAAAATATTTATTATTTTATTTTTAATATTATCTTTTTTCCTTTAAGAATTTACTATTATTAACTTCCTAACTTTCAGTTACTGAATCAGAGAATCAGCATATATATCCACAGGATAACTCTTAAATATTCCTTCATATTCTAGCCTCTTTTTTTGCCTAAATTTCATTCTCTCACTTGAAAATTCGTAAATTTCCGTTTGCAATTTATAAACCCATTCAATTATAAAATCTTTGACTGCAATTCTATGTTCAAAACCATTTAAAATGTTTGGAAACACTTTCAATCTGCTGGCAAATGAGTTTAAATTTCTGTGCGAACTATAAGCCTGCCTCCGCACAGGCACAGGCCACCGACTAAGTAAATGCAGTGCCGCAAACATAAACTCATTAGCCCCAAAATCCCACTCCATGGGGGTTGTGGGTTGTGGGAGGGCTGGGTGTCAGAGTGTTAGATAGGTTGTAGAGTCCAATTGGTCAAATATTCAATATGCGCCAACCGAATGACCGACCAGCTGCAGCAGCAGCACAGAGCAGCATCAGATAAACGCAATGCAGCGTCGCTTAATTAAGGTTTAGTAGTCAGCCTCTTCAGCACCACCCCACCACTCATTGGCACACACACACACACACACACTCCTACACACATGCAGAAACACAGAAACTCAATGTAATTATGTGCTAAGTGCTGGAGGTCCCAGCTTCAGCCTCAGCCTCAACCAAAATTCATTCAATATCGGACAATCGGGCAATCGGACACTCGCACAATGTTCGAAGAACGATTCAGAGTTCTCTGGAATTTAAGCGGGTGGGGCGAGCCGAGCCACTCATTGCCATATCAATAATAATCATCATAGCCCATTTACAATTTCAAACATTCGTAATGGATTTTTGGGTTGTTTTTTGGCTGAAAATGCTGCAATTAGCACAAGAATATGCGAGGGGGCAAGCATTCAGAGATGAAAGGCGATAGCTAAATGTTGCATAAACATTGCATGGAAAGGTGCAGAATATTCTACAGAAATATTCACATTAATAAATCAATTTCTGCGCTGCACACGCGGCCACAAGAACATTCATCGAACAAACGCTTGAAAAATTCAATTTCTTAAATTAAATTTTGTATTTACGAGTATACATATATATTTTTGCTTTTCTTTACCGTGTGCCTGAACACTGCCTGCACATGTGTTTAATTAAACCTATTTTTCTGCTCTTTTGGCCATTTTCTTCAACGGCCTTGCGCCCAACCACAACGCAATCAGCCCACACCACACCCACCACCCACTGGCAGCAGAAAGGATTCGCTGGCTCAGCAGGAGGCAAACCAGAGAACTGCGGGCGGGTTAAATGCCAGGCCGCTGCTGTCGCTCTGCTCTGCTCTGCCCTGCTCTCTCTCTTTCTCTTTCCGTCTCAGTGTTGACCGGAAAAACGCGGGAAATTAAGGATAATGTAATTTATTGATGCATTGTAAAAGTTAAGCTCCCAGCCGCCTGGCGTTGTCGCCTCCGCTGTCTCGTATAAATTACAATTTGACACGAGAAAGGGAAAGGAGAACCGGTATATATTGTACAGCCAAAAAAGGGGGAAACAAAAAATATAAGTGGAGAGTGGAAAATGGAAAGGGTGCGTTGGGCATGCGGGTGCCGCCTCATAATACATTGTGCCCACAATTTTCTGCACAATTAGCAACTTTTTGTTGTCTTCTCTCGCTCTCTCTCCCTCGATTTGCATACATTTCTTTTGCTTACCATTCAGAAATTATTTTATTTTATTATATATAAAATACACTAACACATACACCCACATGTGTATGTGTGTAGTATAAACACTTAAAAACTTTTTATTCCATGCGTCTGCACGTTTCATAATATTTGTAGAGCACTATGAGGGATACGCTCTCATTTTTATATTTTTTTTTTATTCGTGGTTAAATGAAAGTCAAACAGAAAATGTCGAAACTTTACTTTTCCATCAACTGGCTGGCTTGTTGAGTGCCATATAGAAATTAGAAAAATTAATGATGCGCCAAATTAGCTACATTAAGCGAGTTACAATATAAAAAAAAAAGGGAAAGGCTCTATTGAAATAAATCAAATCAACAAAATTAAAGTCAATATATTTATGCAGACTTACTGCCCAATTTAACTCGTTACTCAATCCCAATTAAGAAAACGGAAATTCAATTCATTTGCATTTATCATATTTGTGTTTCACTTTAATTGAACAATATGCGCTAGCTGTTCAGTTCAACTCAGTTATCACTCGATAATTGGAATCACACATCAAACACAAGCACACAATAAAATATATATGCCCAGAGTAATACGAACAATGCGACAGAGAGACAGCCAAGGAGAATGCAAAAACAAAACTTGATATTTACATCGTTAGCTGATTCCTCAAGTGCACAAAGACGCTTACATTATTTAGTAGCAGTAATTATGGTACGTGAGTTGCAACATACTTTGAGGCAGCTTTTTGCTATTGAAATCCAAGATTATTATTATGCCACGCCACATTGTAATTGGTGGCACTCAAAGGCTCAGAAATTATTTGAGCGATGCATTCACTTCTTGGGTTTATTAGCTACGAATATTTTAATATTATAACTTTATTAGCATCCTCTTTCATGGGAAATGATCTGCTAATAGCAATAGAAACTGCTGTGCTATGAGATTACAAAACAAAGGCAATAGAAACAAGTTAAATTTTATAGAAAACTTCTTAACTATTTCTTAAGACTTATTTTATGCAATGCTCTTTAAGCACACCATTTATTTTATACCACTTAAATTGCATTTAAATACGTTATATATTCTACATATTTACCAAATTGTTTGATGCATTCTGTTCTGGCTTTCTGTCTGTTCTTTGCCAGTTTCTGCTGGTTGCTGCTGCCTCTCAGGCCCAATTAACTGTGACAATGGCAATGGAAACAAAGACGACATTTTTGACAGTTTAATTTTGGCGACTGAACACACTCGATTAAGGCAAAGGCAATGGCAAAGGCAAACCTCTTGCACTCTTGTGTGAAACGGAAATTCTTTCTAACCAAACAATCAACACTTGCCAAGTAGAAGAGGCCAGAAGGCAGGCTGGCAGGCGGGCGGGCAGGCAGCAGGCAGCAGGAGGCCACTGTGTGACACTATCACAAACGCACAGGGCAAATACGAGACGTTAGTATGGCTTTCAGCTTTGACCAAACAAACATATTTGCCGAAATGCCTTTGGCTTTAATTTCGCAAGACGTCTTTGGCGTACGGTGGGTGTCACAGGGGTGTCGTTGGGTTGGGGGCATCGCAGGCGCTTGGATCTTATTTTGTCTATTTATATCACAAGTCTATGCCCCGGCCCCCACAGAGTCCGTACGGCTGCCCACAAATCCTCGTGCTGCTGGTCGGGAATGCCGGCAGCTAGTGGCAAGTGTAAGTGTGGCGCATTCCAGGCGTGTGCAAACTGTAAAATAGATGCCCACACACACACACACCCCGAAATTGCAATTGCAGCTTGAAAAACTCACACAAACACACATATGTACATGTATATGGAAGGTTTACAGTGTGGTTCGGTGTCCAAAGCAGCAGAAACTCAGTCGAAGATTAGTTATGCAACACAATCGCATGTAAATTATTTCTAAAATGCCTTTTTAATAAAAAAAAAAAGTTTTTATTGAATTTATAATTTTTATATTTGTTATTTATATTTTTTTATTCTATTTTAGTATTAATGATTGAAATATCGATTTTAAAATCGATATTTTTTCATAAATCAAGTTAAATTTTCGATTAAATAATGATCTAAATTACGCAATCTATTTTAATTGTTTCCTTTGACATTTTAGCAAAATTTTAATACAATTAAATTTAATTAAAATCATCGAAATTTCTTAATCGACAAATATTTGGCTATTAATTAGGAATGTTAGCAATGAGCATAGCAAAAATTTATTGATATATAGGATGATCCTAAAGCTATCCAATTAAGTCATTTCTAATCTTTAACTCCTGATTCGGGTTTATCTTCTTGCCCATTAGTTGGCAAACTATAATAAACTTTCGAAACGCACTGTCCACATACACTCCACACATGCCTAAGCCAGAAATCCTTTTTGGCCTCCTCACACACAGACAAACAACAGACACTCACATACACACACACACACACACATTTGTAGAGAACTAACAAGACGATGCTCTGTGCCACTGCCACCCGCTAGCTTCTTTTGCTGGTGAGCTACGTAGCTTAGCTGGCGGAGATTTATGGGGGAATTCCTAAAAGAAATCCAAGTCAATTACTTGCTTAATTATTTCCTTTGAAATTTATTGATTTCTTTCAGCCCCGTTTCGCCCGAGACCCTCCCCCCGCACAAGGCATGGACTGGAATGGAATGGAATGCTGCTCTCTGCTCAACACGCTTCGTTTGCTATTTGTTTTGTCTTGAAAATCGGCAACTTCCTCGCCACCCTGCACATCATCCAATGCGAAATAC